CACGTGTCTGTTTGTAAATGCATTCTTGGTCTCACATTGGAGGTTTTTAGGCTGTTGATGTGATGCCTGGCTGCCCTAAAATCAAAGCAGGACCCACCTGATTTCTTGCTGTGGTCCTTCTCCATGCGGTCTAAGCTCTCCAACAGGTAGTCCACCTTGTGTTTGATCTGTGTAAGCTCCCTTTTTATGGTCTGTAGATCATCTGCCTTCACTGTAGGGGAAGTATGGGATAAGCCACTACTGAGATGACCCTTGGAAGTCACCAGTAAAGACGGCATGGATGACTCTGTGAGGAACCTACTTGTATGTGAAGTTCTCTGGCTGCTCTTGGAGGAGGAGGAGGAAAAGCTGGTCTTGGTTCGTCGGCTCCCTCCGCTGCTCAGGCTCACCCTGGGACGTTTGGAGGGGATGACCGCGCGGGACAGAGGGGGAGGGGGAGGAGGCACCCGGGACTGGTAGGAGTACATTCTGAGAAGGAGAGCATCAAAGTGTTGAGCTTACTGGCTCTGCAAGCTGCTTTACAACCCCCCAGCTGGCCAAAAATGTGCTGAGCAGCAGGCAGATTATTCTTACATGTGTAAAGAATAAACTGCTTACCTGTCATAGTAATCTCTTTGGAAGTCGTAGTCCAAATCAAAAGATGAACTGTGAAAAGAGAGGGGACAGAACAGAAAGATTAGCCAGCAACATGTGCTAAAGCTGCTGCACTGTGACTGAAAGCAAAGCAGCATGCACACACCTGTACATGTCTCCTGCAGATCGCTTCACTGTCTTCGATCTATGAGGCTTCGGTTCACCTGCCAGATTGATGTCTGTAGGAGGAGAAACATCGAGGTAAAGTAGGATGGACTAGAAATCCAGGAAAGAAAAACGCTATGGGAGAGAATGTGTGAAATTTCATCAAACACATTACACCACATCTCTCATTTTTGTCAGACTAGTGCAGGTTTTACCTCTAACAGACTGTATCGGCAAATAAGTCCTCACATTTATTTTTATTTGCCTGAACAACAGAGAGGCTCCTCTGCTCTCGTTCAGAGTGGATATGAGGCAACTCTCCTTATTCTTTACTTCATTTCATTTTACTTGATTGTAACACTAGAGGGCAGCAGCATGTGTTTAAACTGTGGGAAGGACGTCCCAGATTTTAATCTGTAGGTGAGCAAATAAACTGCACATTGTAACAGATACAAGTCAGGGAGTGAACATATTTACAGCCTATACTTTGTGTCTCCATACAATTTTCTAAATGCACTCGTGACTAGAAAAATAGGGAAATTGGGAAATGTATTCATTTGCTTTCCTGCCAAATTAGAGAGACTGATTTTGCTTTCAGTGCAATAAATATAAAGCTACTGCCACAACCTTACCTATATCACATAGACACTGCACAGAAGGAGGCATACCTAGATCGAAGGTAACAAAATATACCATCTAACACTTCCAAATGTCTTTAATGTAGTGCAAATAGTATTATATTATTCATTAACTTGCGTTATTCTTCAGTGACATTACCAAGCAACACCTTAAAATGCAGTTTTTTTTCTCCATCTCACCTAGCACCTGTCCAACGATCATGCGGCCGTCCTCCCCGGCCACGGCGGCCCTGGCGTTCCTCTCGTTGGAGTACTGGACGAAGGCGTAGCCCTTGTGGACGGAGCAGCCGACGATCTTGCCGTACTTGGAGAAGATCGCCTCCACATCAGCCTTGGTGACCAGCAGGGTGTTGAGGTTGCCGATGAAGACGCGGGAGTTGAGGGAGTGGGGGTCGGTCTTGTTGGTCACGTTGCTGCTGGCCATCAGGCTGGAGGAGGAGGATGATGACCAACTGGCAGGGAGGCAGAAAGAGAAGGGTGAGTGCATGGGTGAAGATAGCAGTGGGGAAAGAAAAGCAGGTCAGAGACAGCATGTGGAGGTCAGCAGTGTTTAGAGAAACAAGAAGGTGTGATATAGATTTGTCTTGTGCTAAAGTTTAATGATAATCTCTGCTCAAAGGTCAGTTGAGTGTTGAACCTTCAAGTTCTTTAACGGTATGACTTGAATCACACTGCCTTTGAGAATTCCTCTAAAATGGGATGATAGTCAGTGAATTGATTATTGATGAATTTCTTTCGATCTAATAGTTTATAAAACATCCAAAGATGAAAACCTGACTTCTAAAATGTTAAAACCAGCAGCCCTTCCAACTAATTTTTGGCATTTTGTGTATGAAAAGCTTCACATGCTTCGTCATTGTGAAGACAGGTATTAATTCTCTTTAATCAAACTATGAGTTCATTTATCTCTAATTACATAATAGCCTCATTATAATCATATAAGAATGCCACTGCAATTACTGTTACGCACAAAGACCTTTAAGTTGTGCTTCTTACCCCCTACACACTAACTGCAAGTTTGCACTATCAAGAGCATCTAAAAATAGATACTAAACAGCAGAGTAGACAGTGTGATCGGGTCATGAAGCAGCCAGCACTCACTCCATTGTGTCTGTACTCGGGTCGGTGGAGGTCTGCCTGTCTGTGTCTGTTGGAGAGAAGAGGATCGTCGAGAAGCTATGAAACATGGAGACTGTGGGGGGGATTTTTGCTACACCTCCAAAAGATTTGATTTTTCCTCATATTTGGCCAAAAAAGGGGATTAAAATGGAAAGAGGTGTTAAAATATTTTAAAAACCTGTGGGATAAATTGTTGTTATGACAAAAACAAGCATATTCACGCGTGAGCAAATCCAATAACCTTGATCCTCCACAGAGGGTGAAGAAGCTAAAATGATTTTCTTTGCATTACAGCGGCCGGACAAAGCTTACAAAATGTGTTGTGATGGTATAACGTGGTACAGCTTAATAAACACAGCAACCTCTGAAGTGCCGACTGCATCAAAATTGGATCGTCGCACACCAGGAAGTTTGCGTCATGTGCACTTCATGAGTCTGCAGGTACGATCCCCTTCTTTCGGTGTATGCCAGTAACAATCCGCCATGTTGGCTGCCATATGCTAGAGTCCCCTCTGACGGCTCTGCTGACATGAAAGTTTTGCATCACTTCATGTTTCACTTGCATCGGTGCAGTTTTGGAAGCTTCTCCTGTTGCTGTTCTGCATAAACGCACAGTGTATGCATGCAGTCAGTGGCGTACCAGCGTTGATTTTAATTAGTACAGTCTTGCCACACTGTTGCTGGATTGCTGTCTCACCAGTGGCCAATACTGCAAAGTTATGTAACACTGCAGGAGAGGGGGAAAAGTCCCTGAATGCAGTGTCAAAGCGACACTACAGGAAAAGGGTGATTTCATAAGAAGTCTTTATTTTATTCTGGTCACAATTCTGTAGTAAACTTTAAACCCCAGCATGCGGGAAATGATTTTCTTTGCTCAGTCCCCGGAGTCATTCATCTCATTATCAACCACTTCAGCTACTGCAAAGTCACGCCTCAGCTGCCAAAACAACTGCGCCCAGCAGCCTCTCCCCGCTCTGCTCTGGCTGGTGACTCCTAGCAGAGGATTACAGTTTACAGCATTCCGGCCACAGCTGAAAGCGCTGCTTGCCACTGCATGATTTTGGCCAGGATGCGTCTACTGTTTGGCGAGCTGACAGGACGTCTACAACACGGTGCGTGTTCAGGAGGTGCCGGGGACAACTGTGGCCTCCTTAGCTTATGTTTCTAAAGCTTTGTGGGGGATTTAGGCAAGAATATCAAGGCACACGTGCACTCTAGTTTGATCTGAATGTCTGATGCTAAACACAACCAGTCAAGTTATATTTACACACAAGATGGAGAAAGGAACATTAAACCCTTGTATATTATAGGCATGTGGATGGGAAGCTTGTGTTTGGACTGAAACAGGCAAATATCTCGCAAACACCAATTTCGCAATTTTCAAATCTTTGGGCACACGCCCATCAATTTGAGGACCTTGTTTGTCTTTTATGTGTAATGATATTTGGAGCCATTTGTGTTCACTTCCTTTAACTAGCATTCACTGCAGGCCTGTTACGTTCCCTGTTCTATTCAATTGCATGATAGTTTGTGGTCCCCTTGTGATTTAATTCTAAATTCAACATGCAGGGGCTCATTATTCAGGAACAACTGCTTATTATAGTCACTCATTAATGGCTCAACACACCTCTGTGGAACTTTTCTTGTCCACTGCCTCATCTGGGCCTCATTTTACAATGACTCCACAAAAAAACCTGTTGACTGTTCAGCTTCCCTAGGACTGGCAAGTGGGGTCGTTACTGCACGTCTGTTGTGCGAGTGAATGTTGGATTTGTGTTTGTGCTTCAACTGTAACAACACACTGCAGCTCTCAGGATTCATGCTTGAAGACAGACGAGACAAAATGACAAGAGCAGCTCTGCTAGAGGGTTTTTTTAATACACATTCAGGGAGCAGAAAGTGGCGACGTGGTCGTCACCACAGAGGGTCTTTTGATTTGTTTTCCAAATCAGATCCGAGCAGTGATGATGGAGGTGAAAAGGCGAAATGGAACTTGTTAAAAAAATATCTGAATTTTAAAAAAAAAAAGGCAGAAAAAAAAAAACAGTGTTTAGTGATTACTGAATTAGTCACTCATTAAGGTTATTTTCCTTGCATGCTGCAGTAAAAAGCCACTTTAGGGACAGATAATTGCCTCTTATAGAGCAGGCAACTTTGTGTTTACGTAAGTAATGGAGCACTTTT